CGGGGGCGGGGGCGGGCGTTCCCCGCGTGCGCGTGTGTCTGCTCTGTGGCGTCACAGAGCGCCGCGTTCCGAGAACAATGGGCTGCGCTCTGCTCTGCTCTGCTCCGCTCCGCTCCGCAGTGCGGCCACCCGCCCAGCCCAGCCCAGGCTTTGCGGAGCCCACCTTCACCACCTCCATCCAAGCATGCATATGCCTCCACCTCTCCTGTCACCCCGCTCCTAGCGAGCACAGACTACAACTCGGTGGATAATGGGATGTGTCCATGCTAGACAGGAATGGTGGAATTAGCTGTGCGGTAGTCTAATCGTCTAGATAATAGTGTCTTCTATATAATTGAACGTCTATCTATCTATATACTAGAATAGACACACATAACATTATCTATATTATTCTATTATGATACAGAACACACACACACATATGTACATACATATATACATACATGGGGGGGTCAAATCAGGGCAACCAACCTGGGCCCCGTGCTTTGGGGGGCCCTGCAGACAGTGCCGTACAGGCCACACCACCGCCAGCTTCTGTGGACAGTTGCCACCCCCACCCCCCTGCCACCAGTGCCACTGCCGTGCGTGTATATTGGGTTGTCAACTGGGGGCACGTGTACCCCTGGGGATACTTTGAAAGATCCCAGGGGGTACGTGGGGGCAGGTGGGGATGGAGCACCGCTGCCTCACAGGAGCAGGGCCCTGGTGGGGTGAGAACAGGGCTGCACACACGTCTGCTGCCACTTGTCACCCCCTCCTCCCCCTCCTCCGCTGTCACCCCGCATCCAGCCATGGGGGTACACATATTAAAAGGTTGAGAATGCCATGTGTATGTATGTATGTATATATGTGTATAAAACACATGCATACATATATGTGCACACATGCATCTAAACACATATTAAAAGGTTGAAAATCCCTTTTGTGTGTGTATGTGGCTGTGTATATATAACACACACATACATGTATGTGCACCCACATGCATCTAAACACATACATGCATAGGCCGCATATATATATATATATATGTCTGTGGGTGTGTGTAAAAAGACTGAAAACCCGCGTGTGTGTGTGTGTGTGTGTGTGTGTGTGTGTGTATTCAACAGGATAGCAGCAGCATGCTCTCTATGACGATAGACCTGTCCATGCATACTCTAGATCGGGGGTCCCGAGCTGGGGGGAACGCGGGAGAAACTGCAGTGGCAGATTGACTTGTCGGTTATAATAAATCTCCGGCAGAGCAGGGGTTAAAATATAAAGGTGCTAAATGTGGAGGGGGGGGGCAGAAGAAGAAGTGTGCGGAGCTGGCCGGATCCCACCAGAGCTCTTCTCCGGGTGTGCACTGACACAGTGGCACAGTTGTGTGTGTAACAACGCTACACACGGCGCCGTGGCCAGACAGACGGATGTTCAGAGACGCTGGGTATAACGCCCGTGTCTGCAGCTGTATAACACGTTGTCTCGAGCAGTAGACATCTCCGCCGTCTCGGTGCCATGCAGCGGCCCGGACCGGCTCCCGGGGCCCGCAGCCCTGGCGGGCGAGGCGGCGGCGGCGGCCGGGCACGTCCCGCACGTCCCGCATGGAGCAGGGGCCGGGCTGCCAGGGTGAGAGCAAGCCCCGTGCCCCCCGCCGCCGCCTTCTGCACCCCCTGCAGGGCTGAGGGACGGCCTCTCGCTACACAGGCATGCATCTACACACACACACACATATATGCATGCTCACATGCACGCATCTAAATACACACGTGCATATATGCATACCCGTACATACATCTAAGCACACATATACACACATTCCTACATGTAAGTGCACACATATGCATCTGAGCACACATATATGCATATATACACATGCACCAACATATACACACATGTGTACAGGTAAGCACACATATACACACATTCCTACATGTAAGCACACACACATGCATCTAAGCACACATATATGCATACATATGTGGACACATGCATCTAAGCGCGCACACATGCATATACACACATGCACCAACATATACACACATGCGTACGTGTAAGCACACATATACACACATTCCTACATGTAAGCGCACACATGCATCTAAGCACACATACATGCATATACACACATGCACCAACATATACACACATGCGTACGTGTAAGCACACATATACACACATTCCTACATGTAAGCGCACACATGCATCTAAGCACACATACATGCATATACACACATGCACCAACATATACACACATGCATATGTGTAAGCACACATATACACACATTCCTATGTGTAAGCACACACACATGCATTTAAGCACACATACATGCATATACACACATGCACCAACATATACATATGTGCACGTGTAAGCACACATATACACACATTCCTACATCTAAGCACACATACATGCATCTAAGCGCACACATGTAAGCATACACATGCATACATATAAGCAGACACATACATCTAAACACACATACATGCATACATATAAACACACACATATATACACATGCATCTAAACACACATGCACACATACATCTAAGCCAGGGGTGGGCAATTATTTCGGGCGGAGGGCCGCTTACTGAGTTTTGGCAAGCCATCAAGGCCCACATGACAGGCAGCCAGGGGCAGATAAATATTAATTTTCTAAATTTGGGGGGGGGCCCATGGGCCGGATAGAATGGCCTGGCAGGCCACATCCAGCCCGCGGGCCACATTTTGCCCACCCCTGATCAAAGCACACATACATACATGTGTCTAAGCATACTCATACATGCATACATATGTGTACACATGCATCTAAGCACACCTACATACATATACACATATGCATACATGTAAGCACACATATATACACATACAGATGCACAGGCACACATGCATACATACACACACACACACACACATATGTATGTATATCTACTTGCCGGTCCATAAGGTGCAACTCTACCCCGCCTTCTAGCAATAAGACAGGACTGATGCTTGTATGAACACAGATGATTGACTCCAAGAGAACAATAATGCAGGGCAGGGGTCTGTATTATCCATCCAGTAAGGACAGAAGGTAAGCACCCTTCATTCTCTTTGAAGCCAAAGGGGAATGATCCAGTTGTGAACACAGGGCTTCAGCCAACCCCATCCAACCCCACTCAGCTATCAGCATGTACAAAAGTCCTTCTGTTAACCTTGATGAGCTTTGGGTCAGGCCTGAATTGAAAAAGGCACGTGTGACAATCTCACATGCAAACCAATAATAAAAAATGCAGGATAATGGAGGGGGAACCCAGCAGCTCTTAATACTGTCCTTGGCAAAGTTAATTTCCTGCAGGATTAATGACCGATTATGATGAGATTCAGACCACAACCTAAAAGGCCGTTTAGGATCTGGGCTCCCAAGGCATTAATTCACAGGAAATGTCTTGCACCAACCTAGTTAGGGCTTAATTTTTAAATGGATGGGTTTTTATCCCAGGACCGGATTACTGCCAGTGACCTTTTCCATTGAAAACCATGCATCAACTTGAAATACAACTGCCTTAAATCAGAACAACAGCGGGGGGGGCGCCGGGGGTAGATGTGGATTAGCACTGCAAAGGAGAGTAGGGAAACACAATTAGAGAAAAGTCAGAAAAATACACCCAAGTTGTGAGTGGCACGCTGCCAGCTGTCCCAAAGGCACTTCCGTTAGAGTTTTAGCAAGGAGCAAACTGGCAATATTGGGCACCAGGAGTCTGTTTTAATAGCATTTAAAATAACAAACTAAGCCATTCTGAGGAGCAGGCTCAACTATATTTCAAGTGTTAATTAGTTTTACACAATGTGATTCACCTTCCTTTTTCTGAATATAAGTGTCTTTTTTGTAATAATCTCATAGAGAATATATATATATCACTGGCCACAGGCTGTTTTGCAATAAAAATACAATTGTGTTTCTAAAAGGTGACTCAGAGTGATACAGAAAACATGGTAAAAACAAGAAAACAGTACAGGAGTTGGAGGACTTGGCTGGTGAAAAGGAAATCTTGTGTGTTTTGTGCAGAGGGAGTTACTGGTAGCAACGTTGCGGATGGGGGATTATGCGGATCAATACATTAAACTATATCTTAATTCACATCTAAATACAGATTATGTATATTCCTTGCCAAATGCGTAGGATACTCATCCTATAGCTGCAAAGTCCCAGATGTTGCTTTGGTCAGTGGTGACAAGGGCAATAGATTTCCTCCATTGTGCCATTGGTTAAAGATTTTCCCAGATCAGTTTTTTCCAAAGAGTCAAAATGAGTCTGGAAATAGTTTATATCACATCTGGAATGGAATGGGCTGATCAGATGCTTTCATCACAGCTAACTTATAGTAGCACTAGCTTCGGTACCATTCCCATTGAAATCAGTAGGGCTAGGCACAGAAGTTGCACATAAACGGGTTAAGTGAGCAGAAACTGGTTTAAACCTGTAACAGAACATAAGTTCAGTGGACATAAACCAGTTCCAAAATGGCCCAAACCGGTTTGAGATAAACCTGGTTGAATGTAGTATCAGACTTAACTGATTGAGAGCAAACGGATTTATGGAACTTCTGTCTCACACCCCTTCCGGGTTTAAGTTCAACCAGGGTCCCCCAGCATCCCAGCATGCTGTGAAGCCCTGGGTTGGGCTCTGCTGTCTACTCCAGTGGAGCAGGGCTGGCCTTGCCCCTTGGCTCCCTAGCCAGAGCAGGGCTGGGGGCATAGCCAGACGCCCACCCCTCTAAGGCAAAGGGGTCAGGGAATAGGTTTATTCCCCACTACTTCCCATGTCCCACCAGCATGGACCCCAGCCAGGGTCTGCCAAGCAGCAGCAGCCCCTGCCAGGCATTTCTCTGCTCACTGTTCCAGCCGCAGG